TTGATTCTAAGATTTTAGGTTTAGATTCTTATAATTTATGTTTTATTCTTTTATTGTTAGAAGTATTAAATGAAAGATTGATGTACTAATGTTTTGATTGAACTTATGATTATTATAAATAGATTTTGGATAAATTATGAATATAATAAAATATTTTGGTTTATTTGGTTGCTTCTACTAGTTTTATTTAACAAATAAAAATTAGTAGCTCTAGTAGATTAATTAAGAGGTAAAAAAGAAAATTCTTTCATATTAGATTTTGGAGCGTCAGATATTAGTAGTAATGTGCGGTAGTGAATTAATCATATTCATATAATTTTTTGTTCAACTAATTTGATTAATTTATCGAAGTCTAATTTTATAATTTATCTTATGATGCTCTTGCGTAATTTAAATCATTTCTTGTCAAATATTGATATTAATTCATTTATTTGCTTAGTTTGATACATGAAAATGTCATTTCCTCATTGCTTCACTTAAATTCTTTTGAAAAAAATGAGTTCTACTATCATACTCATTTCAGATTTCTTAGAGTTCATTGATGAAAATTCATGTCACAAATATTCATTATTATTTTCAAATAATATATCATCAATATAAATATACGCAGTGATTAAATCATCTCATATATTCTTACTAAATATTGTATCTACTCTACTTTCGAAAATCATGCCAAATCAAGAAATTAGTTGATCTATCATAACAAGCATGAATAGCCTGCTCTATACCATAGTGGTATAATTTCATCACATAAACATATAGCTCCAAATAAAACTTTTTGATTATGGATATCTAAATCAACATTTGATGAATATTGTGGCATATGTGCTAGGGGTATAAACGAGTCGAGCGAGTCAAGTATTTGCCTTATCGAGCTAAGCTCATTTAATTTTCATTGAGCTCGTGCTCCAGTCGAGCTCTATTTTTTGGGCTTGAGCTCAACTCAGGCTTGTTTGGAAAGCTCAAACTATACTCATTTATTTGGCTCAAACTATAACTTATAACAATGCATTATAAGCCTCATATCAAATGATACAATATCTCCATATAAAGTATAATTATAACAATCCACCTATTAACCCCAAAAAATAGTAATATGTCATTTTTATCAACTTATATGGCTTATGATTCTTATAATTATTTTTTTTTTAGAAAATTAATGCATTATTATTTTTAATTATTTTGATCTTCTATTAATATAATAATTTGCACAATCTTTTCTTATAAGCCCAAAATTGTGCATAGCTCCTTTGATAAAATAATCAAAAGCATTAAATATTGATATTCCTACCCTACACATCATAAAAAATTGCTCATCTTTTCTTAAGCCTTAAAAGATGAATATTATTGAGATTATCAAGAATATGATTGCACCCTATTACTATATTAAAACTATCTTAGATATTATCTTTGTCAACTTAAAAATTAATTCAAGCAAGATAACCAATTCTTTCTTCTCTAAGTGGCATTTTAGTAATATATTAATTTTATTTTAAAAAGGTTTTTCTCCTTTATTGTAAATTTTTAATTTTATAGAAGTAGGTAATGCTCTTATATTTGAGAAATTATTATGTGCGGCTACCGGACGTCATCGTGAGACGAATCAGGAAGCATCACATCATTATTTTGTTATGTATGTGATGTGTACCATTATATACCGGATGTCGTTATATATTCTGATTCGTCTCCGAATAATTCAAAGACCGCACTGAATAATTTCTCCTTATATTTAGAGCAAATTATTCCTTTTTTTCCGATGCTAATAAATAATATAGAAATATTAATTTATTATAATAATTAATTAGATCTCCACCGATTTAAAAATAATTTACGACTACATAAATTCTACGCCAATAGGGTTTCTCTTTAGTTGAAAAAAAAAAGAGGAAACAGCGAAACAGGTTGCTTTTTCTTCGTTAGGGTTTTCGCTTCTCCAGGGTATATTTCTCACGATTCTCTTGCGGTCATCTCTTTCACGTCGATCTTCTATCATCTGAGGCGATGTCGCTGAGGCCAAATGCGCGAGCGGAGGTCCGCCGAAATAAGTACAAAGTGGCGGTGGACGCGGAGGAGGGCCGGCGGCGGAGGGAGGACAACATGGTCGAGATCCGGAAGAACAAGCGGGAGGAGAATCTCCAGAAAAAGCGCCGCGAAGGCATGCAAGTTCAGCCTTTCCCCTCATCTGTCCAAACCTCAACTGTGGAGAAAAAGGTTTGCACTCTCATCTTGCTTCTCTTCGCTACGCATCTCATCTCCTTTTGCGTCGATCTAGCTGCGATCCCGTCTTTTACCTGTTATCCCTAGGGTTTCCAGCTTCGCCCGTTTCCTGCACTTATTTATTATGACCATAGTTTGATTTAGGGTTTTCTATGTCAACTAATGAAAATTGTCTGCTTACGGTGCTGGAGTAACAGCTAGAGAGTCTTCCGGCTATGGTATCCGGGGTTTACTCGGAAGAAAGCTCCTTGCAGCTCGAAGCAACCACACAGTTTCGTAAATTACTGTCAATAGGTATTGCATAATTGATTAGCACTTTTTGTTTAATGTAAATTAAATTTGGAGGGGTTAACTTTGCTAATGTTTTGGGATCTAATCTTCAAACAGAACGCAGCCCCCCTATCGAAGAGGTTATCCAGTCTGGTGTTGTTCCACGGTTTGTTGAGTTTCTTACAAGGGATGACTTTCCACAACTTCAGGTTGGACATGGGATTCACTTCATACTTTTCCAAATCTAATTTATCATTATATCTGAGAAAATGAAATTTTGGTTGCAGTTTGAAGCTGCTTGGGCACTCACCAACATTGCCTCTGGGACCTCCGATAATACCAAAGTTGTGATAGAGCATGGGGCTGTCCCTATATTTGTTAAGCTTCTTGGTTCGCCCAGTGATGATGTGCGAGAACAGGTATATGTTTCTGCCATATTTAAATTTCTTCATGGAACTATATGTTTAGATTAAGGCATGAGGATTCTTAGAATTAATTGAAATTTAGAACCCCAGTTTTGAGGAGAAAATAATATCCCCTTCCTTCTTGGCATCCTCATCATGGACAGACTTCTTCGGCATTGAATTTTTTGCATTTATATATGTCAACATGCATATAGACTAATTGAAATATCAACTTATTTTTATATTAAGAAATCTATTTTTGGTCTAGACTTGACTGTTCTAATGTACAAATCTTAGTGCAAATAATCTGTGCATGACTTACTAGGTCTTCCCATTAGCATTTCCATATGAAGTGTTCCTCCAACCACCTGTTCTTACATTCTGAAGCCCCCTGACCAATATTCTGCATTTTATCTTGTGTATTTAAAATATTCATCGAATTTTCATTGAGGATAGGAGCTTGTTAAAGAAAATCCCTTCCACTTAGGGCGAACTTTAGTGCAGTTAAGTGGCTACCTAAAGTGTGAGACTTTTTGGTTGTTTGGTTGATTAACCAAAATAAATGTCACTGTATTCGATGAAGTGATGGATGAAATATGTTTTATATTTGAGTGGTTTGTGAATATTGAAATAGAACCGGCCTTTGAAACATTACTCAAGCTTAATTCCCCCAGAAGTTAAAGTTCCACTTCTTTTGAACATATAGATTGCAAACTAAACCCATTATATCATAATAGCATAGATGAGCATACTAATCCTACAAATGCTTGAAAGAAAAGCAACTTTTGTACAAGTACCCCATTTTAATGTTTTCAGCCCTCTACCTGAACTCACGTTATATTTTATTTTTCTATTGGAGGTTTTCTTACATTTGATTAGGAATTACAGTCGAGCCTGTCATGTTAAAGTCCACTTATTGAGCTTTCATTGGAGAAGTTGAAGTCCCACTTCATTTACTTGCAGATTTCTAATTGCAAATAATTGGATTTCTTATATGTTCAAATTATGGAAGTACAATTGGAGAATGAGGCCTCCTTAAAACACTACTAATTTTCCCTTCCTTTCCTGCTTGAATGTATAAGAATAAATTATAGATAGGAGCAGTTTTCTTTGCACTTCCTTCACATAGAATTTTGTGACTGGTTTTTCTCATTTGAATTTTTTTTATATCTAGGCTGTATGGGCATTGGGTAATGTTGCTGGTGATTCTCCGAAGTGTCGGGATCTTGTTCTTGCCAATGGTGCATTGATGCCACTGCTGGCACAGCTGAATGACCATGCTAAGCTCTCCATGCTTAGGAATGCCACATGGACGTTATCAAATTTTTGCAGGGGGAAACCACAACCCAACTTTGAGCAGGTTTGGCAGCATGTTGCTTCTTCTCTACTGTATTGTTATCTATTGTTTTTTTTTCATTTTCTAACTACTAATTTGCCCTTGGACCAGACAAAGCCTGCTCTCCCTGCACTTAAACATCTCATCCATTCAACTGATGAGGAAGTCCTCACTGATGCATGCTGGGCTCTCTCTTATCTTTCTGATGGCACAAATGACAAAATCCAATCTGTAATTGAAGCCGAAGTTGTACCTCGGCTGGTCGAGCTTCTTTTGTATGTTATTATCCCCGCAAGAGATTTCAGTTGTGTTATGCTAATGTTTTGATTTCTTGACCCTCTTTCTAATGCTTTACTATAATTGTCTCTTTGTCTTGTTGAATTTTATTATTTTACTCAGCCATCCGTCACCTTCAGTGCTAATCCCTGCGCTTCGAACTGTTGGGAACATTGTCACTGGAGATGATATACAGACACAGGTAATAAAAGATATAATTGCCTGCTTTCTGATTTAGGCCATCCGTTTTCTTGAGATTGTGATTTAGTTTCTGGTTAATCCAATATTCTTGAGAGGTCCATAAAACTTGTAGTTACATTGTGGGATATAGGGTGTTTGTTTGGACTCCAAAATAATTTTGGATTGCATTTTGCATTAAGCCTAGAGAAAATTGTTCATGATCAGGAGAATCTACAATATTTGTTCAATATTGTGATATGCGTAGCTTGTAGGTTGAGCATCAACAATGAAGAATTTTTATTCATCAGTTATGATATATTTATATTTTACATTTCCAATATTCTATTTTGTGTTTTGTAAATTACTTAAGTGTAAACTAGGGGGGCACAACTTTAATTGGATTTCTTATGTGTTTTGTAAATTACTTAAGATAAATATTTGAGGATGATGTGATGGATTGTAATTATGATTTTTTTTTTGTTGGCAATGAAAATGTTCTTCTAATATATTTCAATTTCCGCATATTATTTTTTCTCTATGCTTGATTTTTTTGCTTTTTGAATTGCCTGGTTTCCTTCAGTAAACTAGGTGCTTGGTTGGTATATATATATATATATATATATATGTTCATTTTCTTATTTATTTGTTCTTATATAGGTTTTATAGGTTTTGCAATGATGAACACAGGCATTACTTGATACACATTTGGAGATTTGAAAGGATGACAAATATAGAAAAATTTTGGAAGGCGGATGGATGATAAATGAAAGGCAAAAGTGAAAAGCATAGAGAGTTAAAGAGTGAACTAAAGAAATCTAATGAATTACGTGAAATTTATTATCGTGCCTTACTTCCTTTTCTTTAATAGTAAAAAGGGACTTGTGTCAGTTTTGGAATTTCCATTGCCATGTGATCCTTTTGCAAACGCTTGCAATATCAAAGACCTTGTGATTTGTAACATATGTAAGTGGCAAATTATGCCTTTAAATGCAAAGTCAAAATATCAAAAATATCTTTTTTTCAAGACAAAAGCTTATATCCATGGTTTCTATATATAAACATAAATCAATAAAGAGTTAGATATAGTGGATCCGGTTGAAATCTACCTTGGTTAGAATGGTATATATTTCATCTCATTGTGGACAAGATCTTTGTTCAAGTTGTTTCCTAGAAGTATAAAAGTATTAAATTACATGGGCACACATCAAATGGTGTATATGAGTACGCCATGGCCAGTGTAGTTCATTTGTTTTGTTTTAGATTTGCAATTTCCACGCTAAACTATATCAACGAGAAGTGTTTTTTGTTCAACTATAGGACTTTTGCTTTTATGTTTATTTTTTTTTTCATTTTTCTGTATTATCTGTGGACCAATTGCTTGTGATTGTTCTAATATCTAGATTGATTGCTACTTTATTCCCTTTAGAGAAGTAGAAAATTATAGTAAAAAGAAGATGCTACGGGCATTGTGGATCGTCATGCTTGTTGGTGAATAGAATAATGATTGATGGGTTTATTGGAGAGGAACACGAGCATCTTAAGAAGTTTATAGGAAAGATGAAAAGGTAGAAATACTTATATTCATATTATTATTGAAGGATTGTCTTCTCTTCTATTATGCACCGACACTATTTCATAAGAGGGAATTTAGTGGCAGACATGGAAATGCGTCCGACACGACCTGGACGTGTTGGTCCGTGTCGGATTAAAATAATATTTAAATTAAAAAAAATGTACACGTGTCTTAATATTTGATGTTTAAATTTATTTAAATTACAGATTTGCTTCTATAGCTTTTATAGACAGTTATCCTTACCACCAAATTTGCAAGACTATAGTGGGCATATTTCTTTTTTTGTTTGCAGTCGCCTGAGTGATGGATGTTGTAGGCTTATAAGTGACTAATGGGAAGATAGCGTTTTTAATTTTTTAATATTTATTTTGAAAGAGTAGAAATAGAAACATTTGATTATTTTTTTGTTTCTTTATTTTCTGCAATAGGAGTTGATAGGGAATGATTTATTTGAATAGTTTGAGAGAGTTTTGAGGTCAAATGCCAATTGATAAGATGGCTTATAGAAGTATTATTTCAGCGAGTAAAAAAAGAGCATAGTAATTAAGAGCAAAAGTTGTGGACAAAAGGTTGATATTGCAGATCAGCGGCAAAGTAACTAATAATTTAGCTGGTCATTTAATAACAAACTGAGGTGATGAGCTAACATGAAATGGGGAGAAACTGTAATAAATACAGATGAATAGAATTAATCATATTTGCTAGAATTATACTGCTCTGTTGCAGCTTGAGTTGTTTCATTCGAAATGGTTGTGGAGCTATGGGAGCTGTGATGTTTTTGTAAGTGTGTATATTCACCTTTCGCATAGTTTGATATCTATTCGTGTAATGTGGATATTTTAAAGCAGCAAGATTGAAGATGTCATGTAGATGTTTAGTGTAACAAAAGTCGGTGCTTGCCACATGTACTGAAGCCAATATGGTGGTATGCTCATCTGCATGTTTCAAATTTGTATTGCAATTAAAAGTTTTATTAGTGGATGTTGACCTAACATTTACTAAATCTTTCTTATCCATTTTTGGGACCTGCAATTGTTTTTTTGGAGATTACCACCTTCCTGCCTATTTTAGTGACAGGAGGCATGCCATATATTTTTCATAGCACCATCATAACTCACCATTGTTTAAAATTATACAATATGAGGCTCGTTTTGAGACCTACCTCAACACAATTCCGTTGAAAAATGTCTCGAGGTGTATCAACGCTTACACCTCGAACTTTTTATGAGGCATGTGATTAGATTGGCTGAGGTGCACCTCGTCTTGTTGGCATGAGGTGCATATTTTTTTTATTAAAACTTATCTAAATATTAAACTAAAGCTCCAAACAAATAACGTCTTCATGCACCCCCGCCCCACAATAGTTTTCTCTTGATTGACTAGACCTTCAGCTCGTTGCCTCCACAACAGCGACCACTACCGTAGTCACTGCTAGGGACCACTTGGAAGCCGTACACCACCACCATCTTCTCTAAAAATTTTGGTGCTTTAAAAATTTTGGATTATTGTGCCCAACTTTATATTGATGACAAGCATTTATGAAAGAGAACAATGTCTGAAATAAATAAAAATAAGCATATTGTGTGGCGGTGGACTCTACAGGGTGTGGTAGGGGAGACTAATTTTTTATGATGAAGACTCAAATAAAGACCCTATCAATGATGAAAATGCAAATGTTATCTGAGTTATCAACAATTCTAACTTTTTTTAAGAATTAAATGTAGAGTAGTAGTGAAGTGAGAAATAAGGAATTTTGAGTTGAACTTGATGTTATATGATATTTCTATGCAATTATGATATTTTATGTTATTTTGCTATTGTAATATTGGATTTCAATTCTATTTTATGCAATTTATCACTTGCCACTTTACATCTTGTGTACTTTTTTGTTTCATATGTATGTCAAGTTGTTACTTTATAGTTCAATAGAAAGTTAATGTCATCTTTTAACATATTATTTTCATTTTATCTAATTTTTGAATTTTGAGGCTTACACTTCAAGATGTCTTGAGGCTTTTATGCCTCTCGTCAAGAATAAAAAACTCCTCAATATCCAATTGTGCAATTTTAAATATTGGAACTCACCTTTGATATGTAACAGACATGATAAAATAAATCAATCTGCCCAAGTGTTGTTAGGGCTATTGTTTGAATATTGAGAATTTGAGTGGAAGGAAAGGGAAAAAAGCGACAAATCAATGCTGATGCATTGATTGATAGGTCAAATCTATGCTGATGATTAATTATGAACCCATAAACTTGTGGGATCTCTTTTCATTTCCTGCACTAACCTTCAATCTAAACAATGACAAAGTATTGGCAACTGCATGAATAGCTAACAGAAACGTTGGCATCAATAGTTTCTTACATTTGCTAGAAGAAAGTTTAACTTTTCTGACATTCAGACGAGTGTAACGTGGCAAGTCTAAGTTTTTGCTAGTGATCGCTGATGATATTGAAGTGACGGGATGCCATATCACTCTCTTTTAGTGCAGGAGAAACCTTTTTTTTTTTGTATTTTCTGGGTTTATGTGTTCTAGTGAGTTTTGGAATATTACTCATCTTTCCTCTTATTTTCATTTTGTTAGTGCGCCCTAACTTTGTTTTCCTTTGTTCAGTATGTCATCGGCAACGGTGCTCTTCCATACCTTCTGAATCTACTGACACAGAGTTATAAGAAAAGCATTAAGAAGGAAGCTTGTTGGACTATCTCAAACATAACTGCTGGAAATAAGGAGCAAATACAGGTATTGGATATAGATATTTCCCAGCGTATTCACTTGTGCAAACATAAAGTCTCTCAACCACTAATCCTTGAAGCACACAAGACATTTAAGCTAGTTAAAAACTGATGAAAGTTTTGTTCATTCTATCTGACGTGAGTAGCACCTGGTCACATGGGAAAATAAACATTATATAAAAACTAGTGCACGGTCCCAAGTCCTGGATGAGAAAAGTGGAGGATTGCGTTATGTAGTCGACAGCCAGCATAAAATTTGTCGAATAATCATGACATGAATCCTGAGAATTCGACTTTTAACATGACACAATGACGAAAAAGGATTCATGTCATGTAGTGGAACAAAGGCTTGATGGTGTTGTTGTATAAAAAACTGGTGCACTTTTTTTTTTTGGGACTGGGAATACTGATTCATTATTTGGATTTGCAGGCCGTGATTGAGGCTAATATTATTGGTCCTCTGGTAGATTTGCTTCAAAATGCGGAGTTTGATATTAAGAAAGAGGCGGCATGGGCCATCTCAAATGCCACTTCTGGGGGTACCCATGATCAAATAAAGTATGTCTTTCCTCTCTTAAATATTTCCTTCCATGATTGAGACGGCAGTCTTGTTTGACTGTTTCTTTGTGCTTCTGGTGTTCAGGTTTCTAGTTGGCCAGGGGTGCATAAAGCCCTTGTGTGATCTTCTTGTCTGCCCAGACCCCAGAATCGTGACAGTCTGCTTGGAGGGCCTCGAGAACATCCTGAAAGTTGGCGAGGCTGAGAAAAACCTTGGAACCACTGGAGGGGTGAACCTCTATGCTCAGATGATTGATGAAGCTGAAGGCCTAGACAAGATTGAAAATCTCCAGAGCCATGACAACACTGAGATTTACGAGAAAGCTGTAAAGATATTGGAGACTTACTGGTTGGAAGAGGAGGATGAAGCCATGCCTGCTGGCGATACTGCTCAAACCGGATTCAACTTTGGAGCTAATGAACAGTTCTCCGTCCCTTCCGGTGGATTCAAATTTGGCTAGAGGTAGAATATCTGATTTCCCAACCTCTATAACTATGATGCACCGACACTTCTCCTCAAAGAGGCGTGCAGTATCCGACACGACACTCGTCCGACACACATTTTCCGCCGAAAACGTGTCCGATTAAAAAATATTAAATACAAATTGGACACATGTGTCCGACACACGTACCTTAAATATTTTATGAATTTTTTAAAATATAATTTCTTGTATTTTGTGGGATTTAAACTAAATTTTTTATTTCCTATCCAAAACATCAAATCAACGTCAGCACTTAATACCCGATCATCGAGTATTCTCATTTCCATTTCTTTTTGGCAGTGAAGGTATTTTTATCTCCTCTCTTGGTGCTTGATAAACGGCATCAACCACTAACTCTGGACATCCTAATACTAATCATTTTAAGCATAAATTCTAGTTACATGACTTATTATTTTCAAATTATTTTTAAAATTATATTTATTTAATTTTTATACACTATTTTTAAAATAGAAAAAAACTATAATACCGTGGCCAGCCTGTGTCTGTCTTATATTTTCAATAATTGACGAGTCCCGTGTTGTGTCGTATCCGAGTAGCCGTGTTTGTGTCTGTGCATCATAGCTCTATATGTTTAATTCTTACTGAAAATGCTTTGTATGTTCAGGGGTGGCTTCTCGTGCCAAGTTTCCTAAGATATCTCAGCTCGGTGTGGGTGCGTCCAGTCATGTCGGTCACGGTCCAGTCGGTTTATCTGTCCTGGCGTCCAGTTTGTTGTGGTCGGGTTATGCAGGATGGGCGTCAATAAACGTTTTTGGGGAGGTTGGGCTCATCCTGGAGCTTTCTGTTTCTATGGTGAGGAGTTTCAGATGTGTGATCTGATGTAATATTTTGAGCTTAGCATCTTCTCTTCACCCTTGGTAACTGCCTGATATTATTTTTAAGATTATTTTTAGATTTTATAGGCGGACTATTATGTTCTGGTTTGTTGATTCTAGTACAGTGTTTTGTATTACTCTTTATTATGCATAAAGCAAGAATTTATTCGGATGTTTTTGGGATCTGTGATATTCACGTTTTTTATATCATTTTTTAGACTGCTCTCAGCTTCATATGCATTTCCACAGAGCTTTATTTAATGAAGTTTATGTAATCCTTTGTCTGGTTTCATTGATCAAATTTTTTTTTGTTAAGTATGCAGTATTAGTGTTATTATCTTTTATAGTTTATTGATGATCGAATTCTGTTTTCAGTTCTTGCTAAAGTGCTATATTTTGTATTATAAAGTTGTTTTTTAAAGCACTAAGAAAATATTTCAAACGAAGTATTAAATATAATTAAGTTGATTTCAATTAATCAAAATTTGAGTGATTTTTATATAGGTTTTGAATTGTGAGTATTATAATAAAAATAATTTTTATATAGGTTTCGAATTCTGTTTTCAGTTCTTGTAATCAAGTTTATTTTAAGAAATCTTTTAGCTTCTTGTTCAAGTATTTTTCTAGTCTCTTTTCACTCATTATTCTTAGTATAATTGGCTATGATTCATGGACAATTCTAGCTTTAACATCCTAAATGGTGCAGTGAGCATGAAGCCATTACCTATACTTCAATTGTTCATGAGATGCACCACCAAAATAGTGAGGAGTTGACCTCAACACTATCAAGAAGAAAGGTAGATTAAAGAGCTGACACTAATTAATTTCTTCTTAAGTAAGATTTCCATGATCAAACGGCTTGCAAAATTCAAAATCTCCCTCACTAAGGTCGTTAAGGAAAAGGTGGATCATGATGATGACCATATCACTGAGTTGGAATCGATTGTCTCACTACTTGATATCAATGATGGATTAATTTGTAGGCTAATTTCACTATCTTCAAGGACTCATCTTTGAGGTGATTCTCACATCTACCATTCTTTCATTATTTATTTTTTGAAGTTCAGAGGGTGCTTGTAATACAATTTGCTAACAAATAAAAATTGTTGAAAAATTCATATGCTTTATTGCAAATGATATAGAACCGAGTGAGTTACAGATGAGCTTTATTATTCAATTCAAATAGGTTTTAGATGCGATAGATTGCTTAAACTAAAATTGCTTTAGCCTGAGGTCTATGTGAAGGATCTTTCACTTATGCAGTCAGCATGTAATAGTGGAGGACATTGTTGACCTTATTTTTGAATGAGGTCCAAATCCCTTCCTCTTCTCATCCGTAGTGCTTAGGTATTCCTATCTCAGTGTAGACCTAGCATATGGAGAGCATAGAAGGAAACCAAAGGATTTAGTCTTCACCAAACCTAAGTGACTTAGATATTTCCTAAACCACTTCTCAAGAGAAATAGGGAGTCTCCAAGGCAATCTCAAGTCTTAGTCCAAGGCTAAACCTATTTTAAACCTAACCTTCACAAATTTATAACCCATGGCACTACAAGTGATATTTCAACCTAAACTTAAACCCAAGCCTTTAGAAGTGATTCAAATCAACCTAAACTCACCTCTTAAGTGGTTTGGCCCATTTAGACTCATGGTCAAGTCTTGGTTGAGCAAGTGACCATTAATCCTTTTAAACCCTAAATTTACCTAAATGGCCCTTCTTAGGTTAAATCAAATCCCAGGTCTAGGGTTGTCACCTAAGACCTCTAAACACTTCCACATTCATGACTAATTTTATTTGAGCCCATGATAGACCATGGTTGACCAATCAATCATAGTTGACTCATTTGACCCATAAAGCATATTCTTTAAATTAAACCCTAAATTTCATTTAACATGGACTCAAACCTCGAGTTCCTAATACTCTAAGCTACTCACTTCTGTCCCACCCATATATTGGGTTTACTTGGGTCAGCCCAATTGATCAACCTTAAGTTAGCTTAAATGGGTCTAAACCCAATTCAAATTGATTTAGCCCGAGCCAAGCTTGCTCATGTGACCCAACGCATGCCTTAAGCTTCCCTGAATCTAGCCTAGCCTAGGTGAGCTCTTCTCTGGCTGTGAACTAGAAAAAAAATATAGAAACAGAGCCATGTGCATTCAATCATGGCTATCTAATAAAAAAACTCACAACAAGCCTTCAAATTCTTGTGGACACTTGCTTTGGAATTTCTCTAAAGAATAGATGAATTTCAATCAAGGAGAGATCATTATATTTTGACCGCTATTTTGAGTTTTTTTTTTTTAAATAAGTTTTGCCATTCTCAAACTTGATTTTTTAAAAGTAGTTTTTTTTTTCTTCCATTATTTTTTTTTGGCACAGAACTTTATGTCCTTGGTTTTATAAATTTTTTAAATTAAATGTCCAAAAAAAAAAATGTTAAATTGCCATATTTTTGGGTTTTAAAATTTAACTTAAACCCAAAACTTTCTATAACTTTTGTACATGTTGCAGATGTTGTGAACTTTCCTATGATTTTTTACTACTAAAATATTATCATTTCATAGAAAAAAAATTCTAATATCAGTAGTAAATAAATATGTCAATTTACTGATTACGAATTTTAAGAAATTTATATGAAAACGTTCAATTTTTTTTTTGTAAATGCTTCTCAAAGTAGTGTTTATGACCAAAAAAAAAAAAAAAAAAAAAAATCATTTTCTGTTTATGACCAAAAAAAAAAAAAAAAAAGAAAATCATTATCATTGTTATTCATTAATTCTGTTGTCATTAAAAAATTTGTTGAGGGATTAAATGAATGAATTTTCTAAATTTTTTAGTTTTTTTTTTGTTTAAATAGGATTTCATGATTTATATATTTTAAATAAATTTTATTATTTTTTATTTTTTGTTTTATGGTTCTAATTTGATTTCTATAAAATGGATGCAACAATATATGATAGCTTAGAGGAGACTGATTAAAATCATACTTAGGGCTTTATTTTTTGATGTTATATGTGAATTTATAGCCCAATCTTTACATGATTCTTTTATAACTAATAAAAAGATAGAAGACAAAGGTATTTCCCGGCTATAATTATGCATGAGATACTGATATGAATGACCTTTCAATGACATAGTAATGGTTGCCCCCAACAAAGAATAAATTCTCATAAATGGTGCGTTCTATTGTCTTAGCATTTGTATGAAGATTAAGCACAAAAAAAAAGAACAGAGTAGTTCATAATTTGTAAGAGGCACTAGTGTTTTTACATGATGGGGCTTGATCAACTAAAATTATTATAATAGTTCTTTTCATTAACTATAAATGATACCTTCCCACTAGGGATGGCATTGATTCAATACAATAAGTAGACAATATATTTAGCCTTGTATCTTCATATTAACATTGAGAGTTAGAGTTGGTGTTCATTATTAATGATGGTAGGAGTTGAAATCACTAGACATCAGTATAGCCAAGCAAAATGATTAGAAGATTCTATGATAATGGATAGTTAGAAAATGATGGTCGAAGAATTATAGTCGGGTGATAAAGTTCTAAAGACCATAGTTAGTCAACAATGGTTAGGAGATCATAGTAAGGTGAATGAGGTTAAAGGTCCAAAGTCGGGTGATAAAGGTTGGAGGGCCTTAGTTAGACGATGAGGGTTAGAGGATTGAAGTTGAGCATTGGCTGTAAGAGGATTATAGTCAAAAGAAGGAGGTTAGAGGACCATAGTTTGGCAATGCTGATCAAAGAACTATAGTCGAACATCTAGGTCTAAGGATCGAAGTCAAGGGACAATGTTCAGAGGACTGTAGTCAGGGGATGGTGGTCCAATAGAGGTGGTCAAGTGGTTTATCAATAGTGTCGTTTATGTGATAGTCCAATAATGATGGTCAAACGATGGCTTGAAGGTGGTTCTTAGGTGGAGCTTCGAGATTCTTAGAGCCTATGAGCTATCTTGAATATCAAGCCCAAGTATAAGATCCAGGTCGCCTCATCTAAAGAGTGGGGGCATATTTATTAATTTTTTTAGAGTGACATGCACCATAAATATGAAGAAAATAAGAACACTACATCAGACGTATCATATTAATTCCCTTAATCACGAAATTCATTCAACATTTAAGTGTCACATTGTTATCACTACTAAGTGATCATGGGCTCTTCGGATTCATCTCTTTAAGATGCTATATTTTATTATAAGCATGCCAAATTTAGAGACCATTTGGCACACGGTTAATATTTCAAACTTTCCATGTACACTTTAAGCTCTTGATTTGGGCTAAATTGGACATAGACCTGATCATTTTCGGAGCCATTTTATTTGTCTCATCGAGTTAATCAGCTTCACTATAAGGTTATTGAAATTGAATTTTAGATGATTTTAAATTAAATTTTGGAATTTTTTAATTCAAATATATATGGAGATTCATGCTCGATTAAGGTGGTTTTCGATGACATATCAATAATATTTTTCTAATTTTATATGGGCTTATAACTTTTGTTTGTTAAAGCTTGAGCTTAATTTATCATTTTGTAATTGCAGGTTGAATAACTCTATGAACTCTTTAAGACTATAAATTTATTCATGATTCTTTTGTGTCTCTTTGATCATATTTCAAATATTTTAGGGGCATTTAGGAGTAAACAATTTGGAATAAATTTTAAGACTATAAACGATTCAGATCCCCATTCATTTCAGAGTGGACAAATGACCACCCTAAAAAGAATGTATAAGGGGGGTAATTTTAGAATTTTGCACCCCCCCTAAAAAAATAAAATTTTGCCCTAACAGGACCCATCTCGCACCTACCTACCCATCCATCCGAAGTTCCAAAATGTTTCGTCTTTGGCATTGGCAAATTGCATGCAGCCTTTGGCATTGAAGAGATCATTGTTCTGGCAGGAATTCGCTGGAAGTCGAAGCCTCACGGCCCGACAAGCAGAAGAGGCCGAAGCCTTTGATTATCCCCCTCGGCTCTTTTAATTCCCCTCTCTTATTCATTTTCTCGCCAAAGCTGAAGCTCAGATGTCATTTCCCTGTTCACGAATTGCCTCCTCGCTCTCAACAAGCAGGTATACTCCCTCGCTTTTTTCTCCCTTTTCTGTGCACCTAGTTCTCGACAAGCAGGTTTCTGTTCACATATTTACCACTTGAAAAAAGAATTAAACTAAGATCCTATTTGATTTCAGATATGATTTAGTAAATTTGGATTAATACATCCTGCTTAAATTAGATTTATAGGATGGTTGGGAAGATTTTGGAAATTTTAGTAAATCTTAAAGAGAATGATATTGGAAATACCAAAATATTAGTAAATCTTTAAATTGGATTTTGATTTGATTTCAACTTAAATTCTACTCAAAATGGCCAACCAAACAAAGGCTAACATAGATGATGAATCAAGTTTTGTAAAGAACATTCAAATTATTGAATTAGCTAACATAGCTTTTCTCATTAAAAAAAGCTTGATCAATTATCACCAATGAAGCAACTAGTAGAGCATGTAGGACCACTTCCAATTTATTTGAAATCTTTATCATGTATCTATAGTCTTTCTACCTCCTACAAGTGTTCTTTTTTGCATTGGATTAATCTAGCAATGAATAATTTCTAATACAAGCTATAAATTAATATATTTTATGTGGAATATAGAAAGGGTTGGAATATTTTCTTAAATTAATTGCAAATAAGATAGCCTAGCTCTCATTTCATCTTTGTAGGAGATTTCTCAAAATGCTAATTAACACTACTCATCGGCTGTATAAAGGTATCTTAAACATATTCTTAAAGAATTCTAGCATACCACATTTCTTTCACATCTAAGAAATAAATCACCTACCGAACCATACATAGACATAATTATCCATTTTTTTTTATAAAATATGCATATGCTTTTGAACATTGGAGAAAAAAGAACAACCGTTCGATGACATTAGATATGAAAGGATCAAAGCGGTCTTATGCCTTTGAGACTTGGCCATTGCAAGAGTGTAAATGAGCTACTTCGCCACCGCAAGAGTTTTACCACCCAGGAAAAAAAGTTGGATCCGCCCTTGCTCAACAAAGCCAGAAAGGTTGAAAGATGATTATTTTCTAATACATTATTCCAAAGAAAATAACCAAAAATAGCATAAGTGGCACAAAAATCAACCACTTTATTACATTACTTAGAGATATAGTGAAAAATGTCTTATTTAAAATCTTTTAAAAATGATATATCCATCTTTAGTTTGTCTTCGCATAGCCATTCAAGGTTCTACATAGAGGTCCAAAGCATATTGATAACATTCACATTGTCATCTTCAATCACAAATAATTTTTTTTCAAATACCCATCATTATATAACATCCCAGAGTGCATTGAAAACAAGGAGCTCCACTTGAGCAGTATCTCAATGAGTTATTTTCTTTCCAAAATCCAATAGAAATATACTTTTATGATCTCTTATAACACCACCAATATTTGCTCGATTGGACTTAAGAAATGAGGCATCAACATTGACTTTGATCCAACCTGAAGGTGGGGGACTCCAAACTTTTTAATTTAGCTCATTGAACTTGTTAGCATCCTAGTTCTCCAAGATAGGATTCAATTGTTGTTAAATAGAAGAAGATAGAACATAAGCCTAAATAGCTGAAGGAGAGGCTACCAATCTTCCATGTTTGCTTGCATTTCTTGCTCTCCAAGAGTGAAAAACAACACAATAATATGTCCTTATCATCACAAGATTACCCCTCGAATGAGATGACTTCTTTTAACATGTAATTAACTGTAAGAGTCTGCCTTTATAAAAAACCTATATCTTAGAATAAAAAATTCTAATGTTACTTGTAACATATGGGTAAAAATATCATGGAACATAGAAATTATCTAAAACTCTATTTTTATCTTTGAATTCATTATAGAATACAATTTATATCTTTTTAGATAATATACTATTATAAATATAGTATTTAATAAAAAGTACCATTAATTTATTTTCCCACTTTCCTATTAAAATTAGTTTTAAGGACTTATGTTTCACAATTAACCAGCTTGAAGGTGTATGTCTATTTGTTCTAATGTGCCTATTTGGCCTAACCGAGGGTCCAAGATAAACTTAGGCTAATTCAAAGGTCTATAGAGGTCAAGCAAGTCATGTCTAAACTATTGAAAAGTATTGGGTTGTATTCTTAGAATTGATTAGGTCAATTGATTCAAAATATCGCCATAAGTCAAAATAGGAGCATGTTATAGAACAAAGGGTTTGATGATCAATTATAATCAATATACTTTACATTGAACCACTAGGAAAGACTATTGAATGTTTAAATTGTCAATTGGGACCCTTGAGCTTAATTAGGGTTAGGTTAGGTTTAAGTGTAACATAGAGCTAGATTTATTAAAACATAGTTAAAAGGGAGAGTTAAGATTAAGATTCAAATATTTTAAGGTCTCCACAATTGGGATTTATGTTTAAAGGGTCTTATGATTATTCATGAATTTTTTTCTAATCAACCCAATATATGGACTGGGTTTACGATTGGATGAGAGGAACTAAAATTGCATTCATAAGAGATGTTTTGATGATGTTTGTCTTTGATCCAATCAATCAAAACAAAGAATGCAATCATAGGTACCTTGAATTATATTTAGTATGGGCTAAATAATTAAGTAGAAATATTTGACTCAATCAATTGCCATTAGTCTAAACTAAGAATGGCAAACTTAGCTAGGAACATTCAAAAGAAACTTTAACAAAACATGCTCATAAATCAAGTGGCATTTAAATATTTTAAATTTTAATGTCAATAACCTATTTAGTCAAACCAGGCTCGATTCAATAATGCAATTTACACCAAGATCTTTAGCAATTTTAATAACTTATATTGATGCAAAATATTAATATTTTTGCACATATTATTCATTAAAATTATGATACTATATAGTTATAGACTATGATCAAGGATCAAGCAGCATAACATGCTTGCCATTTTATATAGTGGCTATATAGTTTTTTGGAGCCTAATTAATGCAAATTTAGCCTCTTCATACTGATATCTCACACTCAATTCTTACTTTTACTATCATTTTCATCAAGAGAAATTTTATGAGCGAGAACAAAAAAGGAAAATAAAAGATTCTGAGATGAAGACTCATTTATCCCAAGAAGAGACATCCAATTCCTGGAGAAATTATTACGTACGGAGTCCGAACGTTCAGACTCCAATTAAAATAGGCCATGTCGCCTGTACAGAACATGTGTATAATTTATACACATACATAGTTTACAGACAACATGATATTTGATTGAAATTCAGGCGCAAGCTGCATCCGGATTCTACACATAATAATTTCTCCACTTGTATAAGGTCAAAGATTTATGATTTTTAATGGAGACCATCAATTATAGATGCTCGGCTTGTACTCGAAGAACATTTTTCAGCACCATCTCTTATTTAGTACAACACTCAAATTTCTCATCTCACTTTCACGTTCATATCATTTGTAATTTCTTATTATATATATATATATATTAATGCATAATATGCCTATCTCTCTTATATGTGTGCAATCATCAAATTGAATCGTCAATGATTTTGTAAAAAAAAATTGTATCAGGATAATCTAAAACAATTTTTTTCTTACTTCTTACTGGTTCTGAAACAAAATAAATAATTCAATAATTTTTTTTAATAATGTCATTTTCTTTTATTAAGTGGAACTTTGATCTTATTATTGTGAATCAATTTTCCTATTTGAGGATCACATTATATAAAAGATTATTACGGCGTTGGATATAAAGAGCTGTTCGATTTTATGACTGTGAACAATAAAAGTACAGTAAAAGCACAGCAGTGAACAATAAAAACGTAGTAGTGAACAATAATTATGCTTTTCATGTTTACAGTTACAAAACCGAACGGTTCGCTAGGTCTGGATTCTGCACGTAATAATCTCCCCGAAGATACACGATACAGAGAGATTATTATGTGCGGAATTCGAACCTAAAAAACCGTTTAGTTTTGTAACTATGAGCAATAAAAATGCAGCAGTAAATGGTAAAAGCACGGGAGAAATTATTAGGTACGGAGTGCGGACGGGAGAACCGTCTGCACACTAGTATAAAACAGTGTTCGGTACCGTTCGGTACCACTCGGTACCTCTGGGTACCGCTCGGTACCCTGTGTCTGTGCAGACGGTTCTCACCCCGTCTGCACTCCGCACCTAATAATTTTTCAAAAGCACGGTGATGAGCAACATACATATTTTACTGTTCACAGTCACTGTTCTCTGTGTCGGGTGTTCCGCATGTAATAATAGATTGCTACACGCCATCACATCTACCAGCGGATCTCGCCGCAGGGCGAGGCATCGGTGATGCCGACGGTGGCCAAACGGTGCTTCCGCTCCAAGAGCAAGTTTTGTAACTGGAGAATCAGAAGCTCGTCATATTCCTTTGCCGGCGGCGAGGCCAGATTCCCGCCGAATTCATCCATGTCGTTACCGAGCCAGAGCTTGCGGGCGAATCCAAACATTGTGCGCAAGTAGGCTTGGTGGATGCGGGCGAAGATCCGCTTCGGAAAAATATTTTGCAGGATATTTAGCTTCGGCGATACCTTAATCCTCCGTAACCGTTGCCTCCATCCGCCGCCGAGCTTCTTTTTACTCCTCCTCACCCGCCGGCCTCCGCCACCAAGCCTCTGATACGCCCTCGGTTGCCAGCAACCCTTAAAGCTTCCGTCATACCCCTCTATCTCGTCGTTCCATTCCATTGATTCTCAGTTTTTACGACTGTGTCTCTACGAATCAATGGATTTATTAGGGATTTCTTCGGGAAATAATCGCTTTTTGGAACTCGCCCGCTAAAAGCCCTGCGAACTCGAATGGAGTAGCAAGGAAGAAGGCAGCTATTTAATGCATAGGAGATAGATCAGCATTTTCCACAGAGCTTATTTACACAAAATTATTATATTTATATATTTCCAATCTAAATTTTGTTATTATTATTATTGTGGGTGAGTACGGATGAAAACCTCCCAACTCGTGCTTGATTACTCTTGAGCGGAAGCGCCTCTTAAGTGGGGCCCAATCAAGTACGAACAGGAGGTTTCTGAGGTGAATGTCTCTTTTAGGTCAGCCGAAGATTAGTTACGCAGCTAAGTGCTCTTTTGAGAGTGACAGCATGTGGATACCCATTCCAAAAAATAAATAAATTATTATTTACTTTCTAATTGTTAAAATTTTAGATAACATAAAAAAATAATACCATAAACAATCCTATTATCATTCCTTTCACAAGATTGAAATAGCCATTATCGACGGTTGAGGGAGTTGACATTGGTGGTGAATTTAAAGACCATGTCACGACCGTAGCCAAAACGAACCGCAAGGATTATCAAGTCACGATTGGGAAAATGGGGTAAATGGGACGCGGGTGGTGATGCGGAAGCTCCATCATGACAACTATGGTAAAGTATGAAAATTTATATATATATATATATATATATATATAGGGGGCCATGCCCATAGGGCTCTCATTGTCCCAATAGCAAGCTAAGGACATGTGAAGGAGAAGAATTTTGCAATGGAAGCTCGCATAGGATATGATTGGAGCATTAACATGTGAACGAGAATAATATTTCGTGATGGCTGCTCGTTGGGATGGCATCAACAGTAGCGTTGATGTGTGAAGGATCAGAGATGTTAGACTTATTTTGAGCCAGGGTTCAAACCAAGTTCCAAAAAAAGTTCGAACTACATTCGAACCCGTTCAAATTGTATCCATTTGTGAAAGACTTTAATAAGGAACTTTTATTCGGTTATGACACTTGATGTAGCTCTACATCTGGACGTCAATAAAATGTCGCCACATGCTCTTTCTTTTACCACGCGGCCCGACGACTCGACCCGGACCAAAAACGGGTATTGCTATGTTCGTGTATTGCTAGGTATTGGTCGGTTTTGCTTGACAATAACAAGAAATACCGCTATTCCAAGACCAATACCGAGCAATTACTCGGTATTGCTACGTATTGGTCTTGTTAGAGTGTCATTTCTCGTTACTGAGCAATACCTAGCAATACCCTGGTATGCACAAATCAGCTAATACATAGCAATATCGTGTTCCGGTCCGGTCCGGGTCATCGAGCCGCGCAGTAAAGAGTAAGAGCACGTGACGACATTTTATTGATGTCTGGATGTAGATCTACGTCAGATGTCCTGACCGAATAAAAGTTCCTTTAATAAGAAGTCTAAAGACATGAGAGATATATATAATTTCATCCGAAAAAAAAACTTCAACATATATTTATTCAATAAAATAAATAATAAATAATAAACTTGTTTATTCATTCAAGGCATTTAAAGTTCAAAATTTTCTTTTTATAATAATGAAAAGAAAATCATAAAATATGTAAAAAACGAACACTTTCAAAATATTTTATTTATTTATTTATTTAATCTTTTTGGTATTATTTTAATTTTTGAACTCATTCGACAGAGGCCCAAATTTGTTTTTCCTGCTGGATTTTTAGAAGAAACTTTCGGGCGTTACGTTTTAGGTTCGCCCAAGGACGGCAGTCAACTCCATTTGGTTTCAACTGAACTAAAGTAAATGGTAAAAACAAAAATATCAAATCGGGCTTTATTTTAAAGTTAAGTGGGGCCAAATTTAATCAATTAACAATAGAGATTGAAGGGACCAAATTTTATTAAAATTTTCAATTTTATTAAAGTTTTCGTTTTTAAAAAACCAGACAGAATTTTTATATACAATATTTCTATTGGCAAAATTTTTTATTGACAGTAGAAAAAAGGACAATGATTGATATATCATCAAAAAATTATGTTAATCGGGCACAAATCTCGAGGCAAAATCAAGTTGGAAATTTAAAAAATTAAATCAGAGACCGTCTGAACTTCAATTTCAGCAAACTTACAGTCGAACCTAACGGCTCAAAAATAAGAATCTAACGACACCAAATTTGACATAATCCGAGCCCAAATGAGTCCAAATCAAGGACTCGAAGCACACTTGGAAGGTTCAAACCATAAATAGGATGACCAAACGGTTGCCAAACATGACATGCTTATAATCGAATCAAGCAACTCGACAAGACAATTCCAGCGAGCCCAAGATCGTAAAATTTTGATATCATTAAGGCACTTAAATACTCAATAAACGGTCCATGATATAAGCTCTCTTGCCACCAGACTCCTCTCACCGGATTTGTATATGACGCCAGACTTCCGCACGTCGGCCGAATTTCTACCTGAATACTAATTTTCACAAGTCATTGGACTTCTGCCTGTAGACGGACTTTCGTCGGACTTCTACCCGACGTCAGAATTCTTCCTGTCGTCGGATTTCTACCCGACGTCGGTCTTCCGCTCTTCGCCGGACTTCTGTCCGTCTCTGGACTTTTGCCAATCGTCGAACTTTCATCGAACTTTTACCTAACGTCGATCTGCAGCCCGTCATAGGATTTTTACCCGATGCCGGACTACCGCTCTTCGATGGACTTCTGCACGTCTCCGAAATTTTGCTAGTCGTCGGACTTTCGTCGGGCTTCTACTCAGCATTGGACTTCCACCCTTCGCTAGATTTCTAATCGACGTCGGACTTCCATCCGTTGCTGGACTTCTGCCCGTCACCAGACTTTCGTCGGACTTCTACCTGATGTCGGACTTTCACCTGACGCCGAATTTCTACCCGACGCCGGACTTCCGTCCGTCAACGATCCTTCACCTCCGTCACCAGACAATGGTCTTTCTGACCTTCATCGCCTGCAGACTACGATCTTTTCGACCTCTATCACCCGTCGACTACCATTCTTTCAACCTTCGTCGCTAGTCGACTACAGTCCATTCGACCTCCATCACTAGACAACAGTCTTCATGACCTTCGTCTCCCAACGACTACAATCTTTTCAATCTCCATTGCTCGCCGACTACGGTCTTGCCAATCTCCGTCGCTAAATACACTCCTTCCAACCTCTGTCCCCCACCGATTGCGGTCTTTTCGACCTCCATTGCCCGCCGACTACATTCCGTCCGACCTCTATCACCCGTCGATTACAATCCTTCCGACCTTCGTCAATAACTACAATCTTTCCGAGTTTCTTCTTTGCCGTCCGCTGACTATGATCCTTTTGATCACCATCACCCGCCTACGGTCTTTTCGACCTCCGTCATGCACCGACTATGGTCCTTCCGACCAAACGAACACGTAAACAGTAATTCTTCCTATTTTCACCATGTAACACAATATATATGATGTATATTTGTTACATCAAGCCAAGGCCTTCCCTCCAATAAAGGGCCTCATTTGTACCAAACTACAAATACCAGTGGATTCATTCAAACTATGCTAGCCTCCATAGTTTTCCCCTATTCAGGATTTTTCACGTAAAAAATCTTGGTGTCTATTATGAATGCTAAACCCTCTCCTCCTATCTAATTGCGTATTGGATCTTCATACAAAGCTAAGACGTTAAACATTATATTTCTTTGCCACCGCGAATATTCTAGGACGCAATAGTTTAGTTCCGTATGTGGGAACTTGGTTCCTGATTAGGGGCAATTTTTGCCCCGACCTCAAAAAGTTATTCATGTCAATATTATGTCATAAGCTATTGCTACATCAATTTTATGAGAATTAAATGTGGAGTGGGGTTAACATTGACTACATCCTTGGATAAGAAGAATCCTCCAATTCTTTCAATATCCAAGATGATATATTGGGATCATAAAGCTTCTAGAAAATACAACGATGCTTCTAATAATTTCAAGCTTTATATAGTCCCTAGCTGGACTTCTATTCCTTGGGCAAGGTATTAATTTTGACCTAAAAAATGAAGTAACAGTCTAAAGATAGATCATTCTTCACCTTTGATTCATGATACATGCAGCATTCGCCCCCTCCCAATCAAGGCAAAATTGATCCCAGGGGGATTCAATTCAATCTCTTCCACATAGATTAATATCATCGAGCAGTGCTTTGACATACAATCTCGAATATGTCATATATCCTTGGTGAATTCTCTTGACTTCTTTCATATAAGTTAATGTCATCGAGTAGTATTATAACATACAATCGCAAATAGGTCATACATCATTTGTGGATTTTTTCGATCTCTTGTATATAAGTTAACGTCATTGAGCGGTGCTTTGACATACAATCTCGGATAGGTCATACATCTTTGGTGGATTCTCTCGACCTTTCAATATAGGTTAACGTCATCGAGTAGTGCTTTAATATATAACATCGGATATGTCATACATCCTTGGTGGATTCTCTCAACCTCTTCCATATAGGTTAATATCATCGAGTGGTGCTCTAACATATAACATCGAAAAAGTCATATATCCTCGGTGGATTCTCTTAACCTCTTTCATATAGTTTAATATCATCGAGTAGTGCTCTAACATACAACCTCAGATAAATCATACATCTTTGGTGGATTCTCTTAACCTCTTCCCTATATGTTAACGTCATCGAACAATGCTCCAACATACAATCTCGGATATATCATACATCCTTGGTGGATTCTCTTGATCACTTCCATATAGGTTAACGTCATTGAGCAGTGCTTTGACATATAATCTCTGATTGGTCTTACATCATTGGTGGATTCTCTCGACATCTTTCATATAAGTTAACGTCATTGAGCAGTGCTTTGACATACTATCTCATATATATCATACATACTTAGTGGATTCTCTCAACCTTTTTCATATATATTAACATCATCGAGTAGTACTATGATATACA